CCCAGATCCCTAATGTTTATTGCTGCAGGTCTGCATCTCAGCTCACTAAAGCATGAGTGCAGAACATGAAACACAATGACATAGCCCTCTGACTGACCAATTTGTTCCTCTGCCCCACTTTGTTAATGCCCTCTTGATTGCAAAAGCCAAGACAAAGCTAAAGACTCAAGGAAAAGTTGCTTTCTGCAGAGTGTAAATCCCACCCGGTATTAGCAGTAGATACAAACAACAGCTGGCAGGAATGTATTCAGAAAATTCCTCCCCTTGAGGAAGTGGTAAATGCATGCATACAACAGAATGTGCAACTGAATCCATAGTCTTTAATGAATGCAGGGACTTGTTCTGGGCACAGGTATATTTGTGATTGCCCCCACACCCTCCTCCTCCCACTCTTAAAAAATTATTTTACTGAGTCCAATGTAAGACCACACAAAGACCAGAATCCGTATTCACACCTTAGAGGATCTGAAATTGTTTTCTTTTTTTTTTTCTTAAGAAACTTTCACACATTTAGAATTATTGACTGTTACACCCAGTCAGTACAGCAGAAATATTCTACACAGATCATTGGTTGAAATGCACAGTACAACAGTTGTGAGCACACTGTCACAAGAGACACCTGCATGAACACTAACAAATGTAGCAGGTCCATCAAACCACATTGCAAGCATCTGCAACAAACCAGTCTGGAAATTACCAGAACGTGGAACAGAGATGTTAAAGTACATGGAAAGCTCCTACAGTCACTTCTCTCCAGAGTCATTGCTCCCATTAGAGAGCCAGGAAACCTGAACTGCTGCTTGCCACCTGAAACTCTCCTTCTGTTTCACAGGGATCAGTGACACGCCTTTTTATTTCCAGATCTGAGTCACTGTGATTTTGCTTGAATGGGGACGAGGAAGAGAAAGACAAACATAGACCCCATTTAGCAGAGCTCACTTCCCCAGACCTGCATGGTCAAACAGCTTGAGATCAGAGGATTTTTCTATAAAAAGGCCACAAAAGAGAGAAACAAAATAGAGCTAAAAAGAAAAACAAACCAAAACAAAACAACAAACAGAACAGAAATAACATAGTTTTATACAGCCTACAATAAAGCTATAGTCAATGGTACAGTTTTGTTCACATGACACTTATTAAGGCTTTGACTACTGGTCTTCTACATGCACATTTTATATACATATAATTTTTGTGTGTGTGTGTGTGTATAAATTACTTATTTTTTGTTGTTCTAAGCAAGAAAATATTTCCATGCATTTGCTTCTCCTAGTATTCACAATACTTGGATCATATTCTGTTCAAGGACTTCTGGAGAGGGCTGGGTTTATTTATTATTCATCTGGAAATGCCCTCATCTCCAGGAATGTCGTTTGTGCCCGACAGTGGCATTGGCCCCACGCTTCTCTGCAGTCATACACCAGAGAGGAGGTGTCACCCTGGAGCCTGACAGTACATTGGTTATGTAAACATATTAATCCTTGGATTATAAATACTTTATTAAAGCTAACATACCTCAGCTTTTAGCTCATAATTGCCCATGACTGCCTTAATGAAGTATCACTCAGAATAAAGGCTTTTTTTTTTTCCCCTTCCCGTATCAACAGCTCAATTACAGTGGTTCCTCCAAAAGCAGTTTTCCCTACTTTTTCCCAAAGAAGTGCCAAGCTACCTGTTAATTCTGCAAATCCATGGCTTGGTAGCTTCCATAGACATAAATAACTGCAAGACAGAGCATGTCTGAGCTGCATAGCTCAAAGTGCTTAAGTTGCCCTCTCACTTCCACCCCTGCCATGAAGTTAAGAGACAGGGTCGTGGGCCAGCAACAAACGAGGAGGAAGCAGAAAACAGAAGAGCTCTCCCTTTACTAGTCTGAAGCCTGGAGCTTGCACACGTTTGACAGGTTCCCAGAGCTGATCTGTAGCAGAGTCTGTGTACATTTGCCTCGGGAACACCCTATCTCTGGCCCAACACTTCCTTCAGTGAGATCTCTGGCTATCTGGTGTTGCAGAGCACTCCTGGGTTGCAGCGTGGAGCCCTGGGGAAAGCAGCTCGGCTGTGAAAAGGAAGGGCTCACATGGAAGTGGTATTAATGAAAGGAAGCAGCATAAAGAAGGCTGAGAAGGCAAATGTGGGTGGAGTGAGGAGGAGATTCCTTAAGACAAGGCCTAGACTGCTGCCACAGCCCTCTGAGCTGCCTTGCCTGGCACTGAAGTTGACGCTGTCAGCACTTCAGTTGCTAAGCTCCGCCACCATCACACGGTCACACCTTGTACCCCACCACAGCACTCCCCTGTCAGCCACTATCTTTCCCTTGGCCACCACAACAAAGTACTTCCATTCAACATATACCATGACAGTTACTGCAAAACAGGCACTGGGTCCTCCTTGTTCACCGTGATCCAAGTGGCTGGCAGCCCTAAAGAGACTGTCCCTGTCCCTCTGCCTACCTTTCAACCCACAATAACCAAGACAATAAACAGATGGGACAAAAGGAGGGATGGAGTCCTAGCCATATGGTTGTTCACATTGCACAGAGTATTTTGGGCTGGTAGGGGAGAACACGTGGCTCCCAAACTCCTTTGAGAAAATCCTGTTGGGTGGCTGTCCACATCAGCTGCTCCAGAACGTGTTCAGACAGCTTGCGTGTACAAGATGCTTAGGAAATGTCACCTAGAAACAGAACATACAAGAGGTGAAGACTTTTCTCAATTCAGTCTCAGTCTTCACTCAGCTCCATGATAAGCTGTGCAAAATACAACGTTTATGCCCTGGCAGGTATGATTAGGAGACAATTTTTGGTCCTGGGTATGTTAACAAGAAAGGGTCATGCTAATAATTTCAGAGGCAAACCTTTGAGACTGGATTTAGGTTTCATTACAGAAAATACTGTACACTTCTTTTTGGCCAGGTGCACAGAAGCTTAAAAAAAAAGACAGATCACAGTCAAATGTCTCAATCTTCAGATGGGAATGTCTGTGAGGAGCAGTCAAACTACTTTCTCATGTGCAATGCATCCTGAAATTTGGTACTTATGTATTGGGCATGAAAGCCTTTCTTGTTGATGGTGTCGTCTGTGTGGAATCGAATCATGATGGAATCCCCTGCAGAGTAGATTTCTTCCAGAGGCTGCAGAAAAGTAAAGACAGAACAGAGTGGTCAAGTCTGCTGGCTAAATAACTGTCTGCACTATGATGCTAGAATTTAACCTCACCAACTGGTCAGGAAACACATTGAGCACTCAGTACCTCCTGCCCGGCTCTGACTTCCTGAGCACATTCCCTTGCTCTCGGCATGCTTGCCCTTTATGTTTGAAGACTGATGCTAGCCTGCTCTACACTCCCAGCTCTTCTAGTTTTTTATAGATCACATTTACAGGGCTCCCTGGATGTTGTCATTCCAGCCTTCTGAGTGTTCTCTAACTTGTCCTAATCTTTTCAGGAAATGACACAACCCAAACTGGACGCTATTTGGTAGCTGAGGCTCTCTCATGGTTCATTAGCAGCAACATAACTTAGCCACGTATTTTACGTGATAACTTTGGTTATCTCCCCCACTGTTGTGACCTGCTACAACCTCCCTGTGCTTCTCCACAGGACTCACACTTTCCCAGCTTTTCCATTTGTCATTGTGCAGGTAGGTAGATTACTACCCTGCTGCCCTGAACTTCTTCACACCAAGATGTGTGCCTTTTATTTTCCAAGCCATTTCCTCAGATTGCAAGGATTGCTCTGATACACCTGCTCCTTGGATGCCTCCATTTCATTGCTGAAGTCCTACAGAAATTAAAGATAGAACCTCTAGTTTTAAATACTACACACTATTGCTCACACCAACAGAGTCACTCCCCTTAATGGGAACACAGATAATAGTTTAGGAAACAGCATGCCACCCTGGCATCAACAAGAAGCTCTGCAAGTCCCTCCGCCCTTGGCTCTCGCCATAGCATGGCCACAACACGACTTGGCTTCAGACAGTAAGTTACTGAGGATGAAACTGGCCTTTGAAAGCCATTTCCAACATTTACAGAATACTTCTGTGGCAGGGCTGGGGCACAGCAGTCCTGTGCTGCTGCCCACGGCCCTGGGCTAACAAGGAAAAGTCAGTCAGCAAGGTTTTCAGACCAACTCTGTGTATCAGATAAAACTGCTGTGATCTCTAGCAGGAGAAGCAGCAACTCCCAGGCATATAGGGCACTCCCATAATGATATTGTGAGAGCTGCCCCTCTTCAAAAATGGTATGAGTACCTTTCTTTACTACCTCCAGTTATGCCTATGAAAGTTCCCCCTCCCCCCAGCTTACCCCTGAGCCACAGAAGCGTCCCAGGCGGGGTGCAGTGCTGTCGTAACCATCATAAATCTCCATGTAGTCATACCCACAGTCAGCCTCCTCCTCAATCTCAAACGTCTGGAATGTCAGCTCCACCCCATAACCATCTTCAGCTACAATCACCCATTCACAGTTAGCTTGACCTGGGTAGTTGTTGTCCCCAAACTGAGCATGGGAATACAGCTCCTTAGTTCGTACTTCAGCCTTTAAGAGCCCACCACACTCTGGAGAAAGAAAAAGAGCAAAAAGCACAGTCTCATCAAAGGATCTACCTCACAACAAAGACTCACCATTGAGATTTGGGCCAGCTGTAGGGAGGGAAGACCTCCAGCATGAAACGCATGTACAACAGGGGGGACAACTAATCACTGCACCAAATTACTGTAAACCAGTGGATTCACCAGTCACCCATGAATCCAGTGACCAAAACAGCATAAACATCATACCTCTTGGAACAGAACAAGAAGATAAAGAGACAATCAGTTAAAACTGTTGAGATAGGGCTCCTGCCATATTATGCTCTGGAGAAATGTATTCTTTTCTTCACATTTGTCCTGCAGCTGAAATTCTGACTGCAAGTATTCTACCAGCAGTAAGCTGAAGCATGTTAAATAACTGGGGACCAAAATAAACCTTTTCTGCCCATGCACTGCACAAAGGTAGCCCTGCCCTTGTGCAAAATGCATGTGCTTTGGGGCAGAGTTTCTCTGCAGCCAGTCAGGAAGATGCTTCCTCACTAGTCTCTCATGCACTGCCATTCAAAGCACATTTCATCTCACTATAGTGGCAGGATTTCAAAAAAGTGAACCTTGGTACAACACACCCTCTTCTGGGCTGCCATGGACAGAAGAAGTGTACTGTGGCTCTCCACAGCACTCCTCTGCTTCCACCATAACCAGCCTGTTCCATCTGTGGACCATCACACAGGCTAAGTTGCATCACCTCATTTTTGAGGGTTGAGGAAGAACAGAATAGTTTGCTGCTCAACCAAACACCTCCAGTTTAAACAGAAGGACTGAGTAGGAATGTCTGACATCAAGAGACTTCCAAGTCGATAAGGAAGCTGGCATTTATGGTATGGTGCCAGTAATGTTCTGGGAACTGATTTACAAACACTTAAAATTCAGGCAAGCTTATTTGGGAGAAAAGTATTTATCATTTTGCTTGGTAAATGAAGTGAGATTTGATAACATCTTATCACACTTAGCTATTGGCAGGCAACCAGCTCACCTGTGCTGTGCTTTGCCTGGAAACCTTTTCTTTGCACAGAAGCATCGGAGTAAAACCTGAGGAACATTTTGTTGGTAGAAGTCACTACAGGGTCTGGTTTCTTGCTGCCACAGAAGCGGCCAAGGATAGGTGACTTGCTGTTGGGCCCATCATATATCTCCAAGTGGTCATAGGCACATTCTTGGTGCTGTTCAATCTCAAACTCATTGAAGGTCTACAGCAAGAATAAGAAGAATTAAGACAGATTTGTAAATCTGCGTAAGCAATTTAGCAGAGGATGAAATGTCAAGTGAGAAACAGGTCAGGTGGTACACCTGTCTCAGTCCTTCCATGAACTACAACAGATTTCAGACAGGAGTGATCACAGGGTGGCAAAGCTCAGAAATTCACATGAACATGCCACGTAGCCTTAGCTTTGCTGCCTCACATGGGTGCATGAAAAGTTTTCAACCGTAAGCCTTATATACTCTTAGTTTCTGGCCAAGAACCCTGCCTAGCACATCAAATGGGCAGTTCTTCAACACTGCTTCCATTGAGCTCAGGGATCCAGGCATTATTTTCCCCAGTGCACAGGCCATCTGCACAGCTTTGAGCATGCCCTGCTCTATGTGTTAGGCCACGCTGTAAAATGAGCCTAATGCTTCTCCTCCCTTAGAGGGGTTGCAGGCTGGCCTTGCCACCATGTCATGCAGAGATGGTCTCAACAGAGTGGTTCACAAGGAGGGTTAGAGACGGGAGGGCATGTTAGATCTTCTGTTAACAGAGAGCTGCCATCTGCTGGGGTCTCCTCCAAGCTGCCTCATGTCCCTCTGAGACATTCTGCCCTTTTGCAGACCACAAGCAGTCTCCCAAGACGCCCTCCTCTAAGTACGCCACACAGGACCTATGGGGATCAACCTCCCACTCACACAGTGGTGGGGAAAAGTCACTTCAGCTCCTCACAATCCAGCCTGCTTCTCCCCTCGGGCTCCTGCTCACTGGTTACTCACTACTTTCACTCGGTGGCCAGGCGTTTCTCTTTCCGGCTGGGGTATTTGTCAGGCCAGTTTGGACTGCTCATCATTCCCTCCGCACCACTCAGCTTGTGCTCACAACCAGCTTGAGAGAGAGATATCACAAGATAGAGGCATCGAGGCAAGTCTCACATGAGAACCACCTAACATCCTACATGCTCCTCTTTGCCCACTAAGACCCTCTACAACAGGAAAGGCTTCAGTTACTGAACAAGACCTTTTAGTATTATTGCATAGTTCTGGTGGGTTTGTCCTGTATTTTTCTGAGCTACCTTGGCAGCTGCTGAAATAGATCATCTCATTCCCCTGGACCTCATAACCTCATCCACCTCCTCACTCCCAAATATATTCTCCTGCTCCTCCATCTCAGCTGCCTTGTTCCCAGCGACATGGTATCCATGCTCTTCACTGTGTTGACTCTGGTGCTATATCAGCCTTGAGTTGTTTTGCCAACTTGAAAAGCTGAATTTTCTCACGGAGAGATCACACAAGTATCAGAGACTACACACAGGAAGGCCGTGGCAGCACATGGCAGGGATGCAGGAAGAAAGGTATTTCTGGCATTGGCAAGCAATTAGACCAGCTCATCTTTTCTCTTCTGATTCAAACCCAATAATCAAATGAAGCAGCAGTGACTAGTCTAATAATGATGCCCTACAAATGCTCCTTTCACTAGCTCAACTTCTTGTCCCCCCCTGTTCATCCCTCATGGTCATACAGGGGGTCAGACTGGGGAACGGATCCAGTGGAAAACAAGCCCTCTCCTTTCTTTTCCTAGGTTATTTTTCAGCTAGCTGGGGCTTTCTCTGTGCCCCAGCCTTGTACATTGTACAAATACCCTTCTGACACCAGGCAGAACACACCCTTGCTCAAACCCTGTTTGAAGCCCCTTGTCTTTCCCCAGGGCAGGGAGTGGGGACCTCACCTTCTTTACAATCGCGGCCATTCTCGTGCAGCATGAAGCCGTTCCTGCACTGGCACATGTAGCTCCCAAAGGTGTTGATGCATTCGTGCTGGCAACCACCGTTGTCTTTGGAGCACTCATCTTTATCTGCACAGGATCAGCACAACCATCACGGAATTGACAGTGGGAAACAGACTACCAGAGTCTCAGACTAGCAGATACCAGTGCAAACCTCCAACCTCTGCTGCTGGATTAGTCCAGGCAACTTTTTAGCCCAGATACAATTCTCTTCCCTTCCATAAAACACATCACAACTGTGTTTTGTGAAAGAATGTAAGTTGTGAATTGTTAAAGACTCCTATCCAAAAGGAACCTATAGCAATGTCTCATTCTTTTAGAGAAGAGTCCAGGAAAAGTATCATGCAAAGTCACTAACCTAGGCAAAGATGTACTGGCCAGTCTTTGTGTTTTCAAGTTCCTATGTGCTCTGATGTGCCTTTACCTTTAAATAGCTCTGTCTGAGAGCACAAGCAGCCAGAGGGAGAAGAGGATCTAAGGTATAAGCCACTCCCTCAAGCTGAAATATGGCCCAGGGGATGTTCACACTCCTGTCTGTTCAGGACTATGCACTCCTGAATTTCACTGTTCTGAGCATAGAATCTGCTCATGGTTCCCAGTCCAAGTTAATTTATGAGTAGTTTATCTCCAATTTTTCTTGGGCCAGTGCCTTCCCTGGACCTCATTAACTCTGTCTGTCTCATCACTTCCAAACATCTATTTCACATTCCAAAAGAGCTATTTCTAGATGAAACATAGCCCATCTCATCCTTCCTTTTCTTAGATTTAATAAGCCAAAGTCCTAGCTCTGATTCTACCCTGAAACTATCTTAACTTAATGCCATTTTGCCTTGTCATCCTCCTCAAAAACATTAATACCCTTTGGTGTTTGCTGAAAATAGCATGAAATTGAATTTCCATTCCCATACAATGTACAGTTAACCTCCAGAACTGCCTGCCAAATGAGGTACATCACTGACACCAAGAGCTACAAAGCATTCAGAAAAGAGGATTAGAAACTTCCACTAGCATGCACCGCTTTGATGGGAAGGATGACTATACAGAAGACTTCTGGAAATTTTCTAACTCTTCCAGTTTCAGAGGAAAAAGCTTTACTTTAATGACTCCAGGGACAGAAATAACTTCTAGTGTCAGGTTGTCCATCACTTCCTGCTGTAGAAGAACTAGAGGCATTGATGAAATTCATGCCCCTTGCTGACATCACACTATGAAACTTGATCATATGCTGCACTGAGAATCCAAGACGAAAGCTGACACGGCACAGAGTAACACAGCACAGCTTTTTAGATGTAACTAACCATGCCAGTCTCCCCCTGATTTGACAGGAGGCTGAAGAAAATTCACCAAAACCAAAAGGCTCAGTTAGAGGACACAGTTAAGCAAGTGAAAGCTACGTACCAGAGAAGTAGTGAACTTTAAAGCCTTTCTTGGAGACGGTGTTGTCGGATTTGAACTCCAGTCTCATGTTGTTGCCATACGACGTGATCACTTCGGGCTTATCTGAGCCACAGAATTTGCCATGCAGCTTGGAGTCAGAAGTCAACCCACTACGAACCTCAACATAGTCGTATTTACAGACCTGCCAAGACAGGAGATTTCTCAACTCTGTGGACTTGGAACAGAGCATTTCAGAGGAAGGGGATGGAGGCTTGACTGAGTGGGAACAGAAGCCTTTATACTCGAACACACTCCTAACTCCCCCAAATTCTTCTCAGTGTTCTGACCCCCTTCCATTGCTGCCATGGTCTTAAAGCGTGGGTGTGTTTATCAAAATAGCAAGGGTTCAATTTAATTTAGCTAAAATAAATTAGTCCCACCTTCTCAAAGAACCTAACAGCGCAGAACAAACTTCAGCAGGCTGCTGAATCAAGGAAGAGCAACTGCTTCCACTTACAGCGGGGAAAGTGAGATCTGAGTGTTTTGTTCAAATCCATGCTGCCCTTGGCAAGGCATCTTTTACTGGTTTTGTTTATCCTTGAAGAACTCTACTTCATTGTTCATTTCCAATTATTTCCCTGCAAAGGCAGCTCTGAGGAAGGGGGGATGGGGACACCTATTAGAGATGGAAAACACCTACAGTTACCCAAAATTGGCAGAGAAAAGAAGCCCATTTATTACAGAACAGCTTTAATTCTTCCACGCCATATGGGAAGCAGATCCAGACCTCAAGGAGAACAATCAGTGTTATTGGCTTATTATATCAAGGATGGGGAAACAACCAGAAGCTCCACCAGTAATATAGAGTCTCCTCTTCCTTGTACCCCAAGGATTTATCCAGTTCTGAGTTAGCCAACAGTCACACCTCTGAGATGCAGGGACTGGTTACGTACATCATTGCCTTCCAGCTCAAACACTTCGAACTGCAGAGAGATCCGGTACTGGGCTGGAGCTACCACCTGCCAGACGCAGTTTTTGTTAGTAGGATATTCCTTGGGCCATCCAGGGCTAGTAATGGTCCCATTGAGCTTGGTGATGAAGCCCCCACAGGCAGCTGGAGAGGCAATAAATGAACACAAGTTTTACTTGGTTCTGTTCAGACACACAGATTGGGCCACACTGTTAACGAGGAAATCAATCAGATCCTGGTTGGTGGCAAATTTAAAATCCCAGACTGTAGAACAGGTTTAAACTGCTGGGAGCTGCAAAGGTGACAGAAGCCTCACCTGCTATAAACCACCAGCAAAACACACACAGCCTAGCTATGACCCTGAAAGCCACCTAAACCATTTAAGATTGATCTCTCTTTCACTCTGTAGCCTTGGGCTCACTGTGGATGAGGTGACTTGATATGCACAGTAAAGACCAGCTTGGTAACTTCACCCACACTCAGTTCTACAAACTTCATTATCTCAAGTTTACTATCAATGGAATCATTAGAAGATAACGGAATCCTAGGAACGACACCCCTGTCAACTCTTCAGTGGCTTAGATGTGGACTATCTCCTCTAGGGAAAATGGAAGACAAAGCCAAAGACTTAGTTTATTATTTTAAATTTTAAAAATCTAGGACAAGTCATCTTCATCCTCTTGTGGGACAGTATGGCTTTTACCTCAAAGGAATGAACCCCAGTTTGCTGTTTTGCTGCAAAATTCTATTTGCAATGAAGCTTTATT